AGAGGCTAGAGGCAGGGATGCCAATTAGCGAGCTATTGTAACAGGCCAAGGGAGAGGTGATAAGGGACTGAACAATGTAGCAAAAATAAAGAGTTTTTTTGCTCCAGGTTCTCACAGAAACTACCCTTGGGGGAATGAGGAGTATAATCTTTCCTTGATCTCTTTCCTGGATGACTCCTATTCATCAATCTCTAAAGCCCTGAACTCTCAGTGAGGCCTAGCAATGCCCATGGCTTCCAACAATGACCTAAGACAAAGGCAGGGGGAAAAAAAACCCCAAATAACAACCAAGAGAAAAAACTGGAAATAGAAAGGGAGTCAGGAAAAAGAGGATAGGTTGGGGAGTAATGAGATGCCATCAACAACTAAGTTGTCTGTTGTTGAGAGAGATTCTTTTCTGAAAAATTGGATGCCAAATCCTGCAGTGTTGTTTTAATTCAGAAGTAGATAGATGTCTTGCCAACTAAGAGATTTATTGGGAAATTTCCAACAGGCTCAAGGGTTCCACCTAATCTCCTTGAATAGGTAGCAGTTGCCTTTGTTTTTAGTTCAGATGAATGTCCACCAGAAATTACACACAGGAGCATCCTGAGACTTGTCCTAGCACATTCAGAATAATGTAAGTAAAGGACCCATTCACGGATCCCAAGAATCTCTGGGATGGCTCAGCATAAATCCATCACCTGATGCTAGAAAAACAATTCAAAGTCCTCGCTGTATGCCACTTCCCACTCTTCCATGGGGCTCACAGAATCACTTCTCCATAGGAAGAATAGCACTTTAAATACATCTGTGCCATTATTTACCTAAAATAGGACACATGGATGGTAGAGTAGATCAAAAGGAGGACCACTGGGCATCTGCCCCCTGAGCTCAGCACACTGTCCAGTACAGAGTGGGAAGTTAGCAAATGAGAATGAATGAATAAATGAATCAAATTCTGTGGGGAGTCTTTCTCCTTCAAAGTAGCACAGGATTATGGCTGTTTTAGTCTTTTGGGGGTAAAAACTTGGGATGAAGTCTGTTCCAGAGATGACAATCAATAAGAATCTGTCCCTCTTTATGTCCCGTTCATAGTCCATTCAGTTTTTTTCAATATAAATGAAAGAGAACAGAAGTATAGCAAAATAGAGGGTTTTTTTTTGTTAGGGGTAAGATAAAAAAAAACCACAAACACAAAAACCATGCAGCCTTTTAATCAAATCCCATTTTCCTAAGATATCCCCTCCTCTTGATCCACGGCTTTCCTCCTCATCTTCTCAAATACCATAGCCTTTACAATAGTTCTACTAAGTGGCATACTTTACAAAGGTATCCATCATTTCATTAGTCTATTTCTTTTTCCTTGCTGCACCCTTTAAACTAGACATATCCCCTCCCCGGTCTTACTGCAAAACAACACACAAATCATGCAGGGTATATAGGGAGACAAGCTGAAACTTCCCCATAAAGACTGTGTAGACACTTGGATTCCCAGGGTGAATATGGGATTTGGTATTTCAAAGGTCATTCTTGGGTCTCCGCTTTGATGACTCATCTTAAATTGTTCGAATTCTTACAGACATAGTTAGCGGTTCTTATTTACATAATATCATCCACAGATCCATAAACTGACCAGCAGGGAAAGTTGCTGAGGTAGCCATGGAGACAACAACAGGAACGCCCCCTCTATCCCCCTTTCCCAAGCAATGCAACATCACTGAGCTATGGATTTCTACCAATTGTGGATAGAAAAACCACAATCCCATTCTGTGCCTTGTTTTTTTTCCCATTTCCAAGAGAACAAGATGGTGGCGCACTGATGTGATGTCAACCAGTCAGTGTAAGAAAACACTATCACCCTAACCCTCTCACACACATTTTCATTGCAATAGTTACTAAATAGGCTCCCCCCCCCCCCATGCCTCCCCATCTCAAGATACACATAGTCTCCTAAATGGACAGGACCTGTGAAGGTCTGAATCATTTCTGCCTTGGCACCCCACCGTATCTAGAAAAGCGCCAGGCCAGATGTGTTTACTAAATGACTGTTCTGTTAAGTTGAACTGAATGGGAAAAAGAGGTTTTCAAGGACAATTAAGCTTACAAAATTTAGGTTAGAACGAAACTTTTTTAAAGAACAAATCTTGATATTGTTTGTTCATTTTTAAACTGCAGAGACCAAGTTTTGGTGGTCCCCGTGATCTCAGGTAAGGGCTGTATCAATAAATGAATTCAATTATGTCTCTCAGCAACGTCTCACCTTTTCACTATTACTGGGACACAGGGTTCACCTAAAAGGAAATGACCGTTCTTTTTTTTTTTTTAAAGGGATTTTCATTAAGTCTTCAAGGAGTCTTTTGAGATAATATTTCAGTGAGGGACCTGAGAGGTATTTGTTCTTGGCCACTGAGTTTCACGTTTCTATGTTATAAGGGATTTGCCTTGAAAGATACTCATTTTATCTGGAAGGGATGTATTTTTTCCTTGGAGAGGTATCTACAGCTATGAATTAACATTACAAACACCCTCTAAAGTGATGAAGGGAGAAAGTATAATTCCAAATGCCAGCAAATTCTGATAGGAGATCCCGCTTTCAAGTGAGTAAGGCTCTGAACTTAAGTCTCTAAAGCAAGAAATCAAAGGGACCTAGGACAGAGATCTAGCACTGGTGATCATTCCGCAGATGAGGAAACTGAGGGCTAATTAGGAAGATGAACTAATTCGAACTTGTTCCAGAACCAGGGGTAAAGCTTATGTGCTTGGACTCCTACTCTAGAATTCCCTTTACTACACAATACCAGGAGCTGAAGAGGGCACTAGGCAGCCAAGTGGATAGAGTGCCCTGGCCTCCAGTCAGGAAGACCTCAGTTCAAATCTAGCCTCAGATTTGTGACCCTGGACAAGTCATTTAACCCTGTTTGCCTCAGTTTCCTCTCGGCAAAGTCAGCTGCAGAAGGAAATGGCCAACTACTCCACTATCTTTGCCAGGAAAACCCTCCAAAAGGTCGAGTCAAAATAAATAGCTAGAGGGTTAACTGGGTTATCAATTCAATTCAGTCCAATAAGTATTCATTAAGCTGCTGAATCCACCAGGTGCTAGAGACCCAAAGTTAGAAAATGGCTCAATTCCTGCCCTCGGGGAGCTTGCAACCCAAACAGAAAAGAAAAAAAAACACCTTAATCCCTGCCCTCAGGGAGCCTGTTTAGTAAAAAGAAAATGATCGGATTACAGCAAGGAAGCTAGCCTTCTTCTGGGTGAAGGGATAGACTCAAAACAGACAATTTTACAATTCAAGGTAGGGTGTGATTGAGGGAAAGGAATCTAGCCCAAGAGTTTAGGGAAATTTTCAGCAGAGAAAGTACAGTTCTGTTGTCAGGGAGGAGAGGGCGTCTAGGAGGGCACTACAAAGAGAGTAGGAAAAGTACAAGATTTGGAGTAGGAGGATTTGGTTTCACATCTCAGCCCTGTGACCTCGGCTAAGTCCCTTAAACTTTGGGGGCCTGTTTCCACGACACCTCGAAGCTCTAAAAACTAGGATTCTATGCTATGTTCAGTCCAACCTATTATCTGCCCAGGAAATCTTCCTAAACTTAGGACAAACGGTTATACAGACTTTACTTGTACACTTCAAGTAAGGGGGGCTGGAGGGGACAATCTCTCCAGGGTGGCCCACCCCACTGCTGGAGAACTAGGTCTAACTGACTGATAGGAAACTTCCCCTTACAACGACTGCTAGAATCCCCATGAAGATATCTGGCTGTATTTATCAACATACTATCCTCTATAGAGTTACCAGCTGGGAAAGATGCTAAAGAAGCCACGGAGATCTTAGGAAGGCTTCCTCTTCATCCACACACAATCCTTCCCAAAAAAGCAGTGCTGGATGGTAAATTATTCAGAATCTAGAAACATTAAATCTCCCCAAAAAACTGGTCGGGGGAGCCTAGAATTGAGATGCGAATTATCATAACAGGCTAGCACAGAGCTGTAAATTAACTAACCAAAGGGGGTAATCATACTTCTGGTAAAAAATGACACGCAAGGCACATACACCCTTCAACAATTCAAGCATCCCCATAGCTAATGTTACACCACACACAGATAAAATGTGGGTATGACTAGCCAAGCCACTGGGCTGGTGAAAATTCTTGAAACCCTAAGCATTTCTGCAAAACTACAGAGAACTGCCAACGACTCAACTCGACTAACATTCTCATTTTTAATCTCTCGAAAATTCCCCACTGAGTGAAATAAAAACGTGGGGGTCCCCAGAGGGTTTCTTTGGTCAGGTCCCTAAGACAGCCCAGCAAGACTGGGACGATGTCATTTGGGGCACACCCGGGCTGGGCCGGCAAGTCAAGGAGCATTAATGATTACTTATTAATGAGTCCCTGAAACAAGTATTCCTTACTTACTAGGTGCCTGGCACTGTGTAGAGTGCTGAGGGCGCAAAGAAAGGCAAAACAGCCCCATGCCTGCCCTCAAGGAGCTTCCGTCCGAATGGAAAGTGTAGCACAGGGGGTAGTTATCAGGAACAGCTGCGCAACACAGCCAAGCAAGATTCCCTTCACTAAGCCTCAGTTTCCCCATCTAGAAAATAGAGATGGAATACTTCAGTGGTCTGTCTTATGGGGGGAGGGCGCCGTCCTGAGGCTCTGGAGTCAATTATCCGACAGTAGCGAGCCGCACAAACAGAATGCAAGCAAGAGTCCTTCCTCTAAGCCTCAGTTTCCCCATTTGGAAATGGAAATTATAATGCTTGAGTTTCCATCTTATGGGGGATTCGTAAGGCACGAAGTTGGCCGAGGTGATTCACCCACTCGAGACTCACTTTCCCCACCTGTAAAATGGGGATCATACTGTTTGGGGGAGCCTATCTTCCCCGGCAGCCCCACAAGGCCGGGCTGCGGCCCCTGCCTGGTCTGACCCAGCGCTCTGGGTCCGCGTCCTTTCCCGCCTCCGCGCGGGTCGCCCTCGCGGCCCCCGCCGCCCCCCGGGCTGCCAGGCACTCGCTCACCTGACCACGTTGGGGTGCTCGAAGGTCTCCAGGTGCCTCAACACCGCCACCTCGCGGATGGTGGAGAGCGGCATGCCCTCCTCCCCGGTCTGCACCCGCACGCGCTTGAGCGCCACGAAACGGCCTCCGTTCTTCAGGTCCCGGGCCTTGAACACCTTCCCGTAGGCGCCCTCGCCGATCTCGGCCACGCACTCGTACTGCTGGTCAGCCCGGCTCAGGCCGTCCTTGTCCATGCCGCCGCAGCCGCCGCGGCCGGGCCGGTGCTGCCCCGGGCGGAGGAGGAGGACGAGGAGGAGGCGGTGGAGGACGGCGGGTCGTGCCGCCGCTGCCCGGGCTCCGCTGCTGCTGCTGCTGCTGCTGCTGCTGCTGCCGCGCCGCCGCCGCCTCTGCTGCTGCTGCCTCTGCCGCCGCCGCCGCTACCGCAGCTGCCGGACGGACGCGGCGGCCGCCACCTCCTCCTCCCGCTGCTGCTCCTCCTCCTCCGCTCTCCCTCTCGCACTCTCTGGGTTGCTGCTGCACACACTCCTCACCCTCACCCCCGCGCGTGCGCCCCCAGCCCCCACGCCTCTCGCTCCTGCTCGGGGCACCGGAGCTGCTTCCCACCCGCAGCCCTGGCGCTGCTGCTGCTGCTGCTGTCCAGACGATCGCGGGGTCCCCGGGGAGCGCTCCTTAATCCCAAACCATTTCACCTAAAAGAGAGGAAGGGTTGGGGGGAGAGAAGAAAGTGCCTTCAAGCATCTCGGGGTTGGGGGCAGCTCTCCCGGGTCCCTCCCAAACCTCCTACGCCCACCTTGCCCTTGAATCCTCCAGGGTTCCCTGGGCACTTGGCTGCGCTCAGGCCGGTAAGGAAACAGCCCGTCTTTCTCTGCCTGCACGAGGTTGACCTGTATTTGTACCCAGGAGCTCCCCGGAGAAGTGGCTGAGGCCCCCGCAGGGAAGGAGTGAATCGGCTTGGACACAGACTCTGCGAGAGGCGGGCGGAGGGCGCCGTGGGGATCCGATGGGAAGGGGGGAGTCTAGGGGCACTCTTGTCTCCTAACCTTCACCCTTATATTCTGGGCGTCCCAAAAGCCTTTGTGGTTCTAAGCTATTAAGGCTCAAAACTAATAAGACTACGGGGACACGAAATATAATTTCGGTGCATTTCCAAAACCTCGCACTGTCCCAGGGATTGGGATTTGCAAATCAGTCAAGTCAACCAGTATTTATTAAGCACTTACTAAATCTAAAATATTGTGCTAAACTTTTTTTCTTTTTGCAAGGAGGGCACCACAAATGGTGGGAGCGTTGGAGTACTAGTGGGTGAAGCTGTGGGAAGGACCCTGCAGGGTAAAATTCGGGGTGAGGGTGCAATAAAGTCTGGGTAAGGCTCATAGGAGGAATGTGGTTTTTTTTTTTGCTTCCAGGCCCTACTTTGGGGGACTCCACCATGTCCCCTCTTTGAGGAGGGGGATGGGGAGACCGAGAGGGAGGATGGGAGCAACAGCATTCCTTTCTTTTGATTGTGAGGATTTCCCTCCTAGAAGCTGCACTAGCCGGCCCAAGTCTCTGCCCCACACTTACTAGGAGGAGGTGGCGGAGGGGGTTCGACAAATGGAACTGCAGAGGGGAGAATTTCTCCAGAGGGAGAATCGCATGCTCCTCCATATTACCTCCTCTACAATTATCCCAGAGGGAGATTAGCCTGATGTATTTCCCTGAAATTCTTTCCAAAGGGTTCCTCCCACACTCACCTACAAGCCTCAACTCCCACACTCACCTTCCACCCTTTCTTCCTCTAACTACAGAAGGTATGTGCAGAGTTGGGAGGGGGGAGAGGAAGATGGAAATTTGGAGCCCTGGAGGTATTCGAGGAAGGGGGTGGGGTGGAGTTTGTTTTGCCTCGGGCGGGGCAAAGCAGCTCTGTGCCCTGTGGGCACGGACCAGCCTGGGAACCTCAGCTTTGCCTTCTTCCCTTCAAACCCTGCATAGGTCTCAGATGCCAACCAGGTAGCCGGCAATATTGCAACTTCAGATTTTAGGGAAATGCACTAATCGGGGCTGGAACAGCTCTGAGAAAACCCCGGGGGAGTGGGGTGGCAGCCTCCAAGGAGAGATCTCCACCGGTTACAGTTTCGAGGACAATGCGCCAGCCCCAGGGACCGCCTGCAGTTTGGGGGCGGGGGCCTGGAGAAGGGCAGACCCCGCTCTCCCCACCCCCATTCATCCACTCTGACCTTGCTGCTTCACCCCAACCCCCCTGCGTTCCGGGGCCTGCATTTTTCACCCCAGCAACCTCTCGGAATTGGATAATTCTGAAGTACCTGAGAGGTTCAACCCCAGGTCCGCTCGCCTTTGGTCATTAATTACAAAGCAACAAGCGATAATGAATGAAAGTAGCGACCACAATAGACTTCATGGAGAGCAGAAGTCACAGAACTGTGTAAAAAAACCCCTACACTCACACACGTCGCTCAAAAGTTTTCCTTAAATGGTGAGGGCGAAATCACTGGAAACACGCTAAATAGATTCACTGGGACCTCCCCACTGTGGGTCTAGGGCCACACAGGTAGCCGCAGCCGAGTCCCGGCTCTGACATCCTGAGACACCATCTTCTACCACCGGGCTCCTGCCCAGTCGGGCTCGGATCCTTCCTGTCACCGGAGGCAAAACCTTGAGGTGTCCCACCCCCGCAGGAAAAAATATGCCTGAAAATCCAAAGTTACCTCCCTAGTGCCTTGCACAGCACTCCCTTCTCCCCCGTCTAGGGGGGGCCTCTCTGAAGGGATTATCCTCTCCTAACCCCCAGTGTCTTTTTCTCCCTCACTTCTCTCTCTCTGCCTCTTAGTCTCACCTTTCCCTTTCTTTCTTTCTTCTGGGCTTCCCTTCCCTCTCCCTCTTCCCCAGCCCCCCTTCTTTGCTGCCGGCCCAGGCTCAGTCTGAGACAAGCAGGAGAGCTGGTGCTTTTTTTTCCCCCCTTCTCTCAATCTCTCTCTCTCTCTCTCTCTCTCTCTCTCTCTCTCTCTCTCTCTCTCTCTCTCTCTCTCTCTCTCTCTCCCTCCCTCCCTCACTTTTTTTCCCTTGCTTTCCCACGCTGGCTGAATGTGACTTGACCCCATTTCAAAAAAGTTTGACATAGTGCTTCAACATTTCCGCATTCCTCCGCGACTACAAAGGCTGCAGCCGCCTCCTTCTGCTTTCTGTCTCTGCTCTCTCTCTTCACAGTCAATGAAATCCTTCATGTGCCTCAGCCGAAGCCTGCCAAATACCGTCAGGGTCGCCGCTAGCGCAATGACAAGAGGCGAGCCACAGTCAGGGGAAAAGACACACAGCTAGCGACGCACAAATGCACAGACGTCGGCAAAGACGTGCGTGTGCATGGATGCATACAGAGCATATGTGTCATGCACGTGGCCAAGTTAGTCGCTCCCCGGGGCACTAGCTCAGGGCCACGTATTTTTTGCTAGGGTTCCAGGGCTTTAGTGGAGGGGAGCGGGGATTGTGCGACTCTGGGGGTTTTGTTTTTTAAACTGAAGCATCACTTAGGAGCGGATGCAAATATATATATATTCTTGTGTCACCCTAAAAGCATGGACGCCGATGGGTTTTGGACACAAGTCCAAGGACATTTGCAAGCCTGCTGGAGTGGACATCAAGGGGCCTGTTGTTTAATTATCACGTGGCGGGGAGTTAACAGCTCCCCTAGTAGCGCCACAAGGACGCGGGGGAAGGGGGGGAGAAAAAATACCTGGGGGGGGTATTGCAGGACGAGGGTGTCCCCTGAGGGAGATGCACAAGGGTTTTAAAAATGCTAACTGGCGAGCGTGTGATGTCAATTTAGAGTTCCTATTGGAAAAGTTCAAATGAGGCCAAAAAACCCCGGAGCTGCAGTGTGTTTGTGTTTATGCCCAGCGGGGAGGTGGGGGTTCGGGGCGCTTGGGGTTCGGGATGCCTCCGGGCCGCGCGAGTAAAAGTAGGCAATTCATCCCAGTGCCAAGGGCAGCCGGCCATCCAAGTTACCACCCCCGCCCCTCCCCCAGCCTGCATTCCAAAGCGTCCTTCACCCTGACCCTCGGGGGTTCCGGAGGGGAAGGGGTTAACCCGAGCCAGGGCTGCTACGCGCCCTCCTCTCCCAGGGCCCCCCCAGAATCCCCTTCCCCAGGCGCGCCCCCCCCCACCTCGCAGAGCTCCCTCACCTGGAGGGGCCCGGCCGACTCCCCCCCGGCCGTCCAGGGAGTCAGTCCCTCCGCACGTGTCGGGCAGTCCGCGCGGAGCAGGTAGCCCGGCAGCCGGGGCCGCAGGAGGGACAGCGCGGCCGGGGGGCTGGGGGCCCGGAGAGCCGAGACCAGCGGAGCGGCGGCGGCAGCAGCGGCTGGGGCCGGGGCCGGGGCTGGGCCCCACTCGGGGGCGGGGGAAGGAGGAGACTGGCTCCCTCCCAGAGCCCCACCCGGCCGAAGGGAGGGGGTCGCGGGGGGACGCGAGGCACAGTCTGGGGTCCCGGCTCGGAGCGCAGCTGAAGGCGAATGTGCAAATGAAAGCCTTCCGGAGGAGAGGCAGCCCCAGACGGGCCGCTTCGGGGGCCCCCTATCCTGCTCTGCTCTGCTCCCCTCTCGCAGCCCGCACTCCCGATCTGGGGGCGGGGAATTCCTAAATGAAAGTTTCCGGCTTTCACTGGGGGGTGGGGGGTGGAGAAGGGGAAGAAATCGGAGCCTAGGTTCTCGGGGACCACTGGGGTGGGCTGGCCGAGGTGGAGCTACTAGATAGTAAACTCCCCGAGGGCAGCGACCTGGCCCGGGAGATGGAGCACCGCGCCGCGCGCCGAGCCCAAGTGGGCGTTTAATAAATGCGTGCGGAATGGAATTGGAGCTGGCCGGGATTCTGGCTCTGTTGTGGGCTGGAGGGGGTGGGAGAACCCCAAACAAACCAGAGTCCTTCAGAGGGGCCAAGGGGGTAAACACTGCACCAGAAACTCACAATCAGGGCAAATCAAGAGCTGTGCTGAGTCCCCCCACCCCTTTTTAAAGTGCCTGCCTTGAACAGCCTGCAGAGAGAAAAATACTCTTCGGTCCGAGCACTTTTCATTTTCAGGATGAGCTACATTTGTTTTTGTTTTCTTCGCTTCCTTTGGAAGCTGTCAGGCACTCTGATAGTTAACGATTTCGGTGATGAGGCTGGATGGTTCACAATTATTAAGTAATTACCAGCTGCTGAGGCTCACTAAGGCATTTCTGGTAAGCTAAAAGACTGAACTTGAGTCTTTAAAAAAAAAGATATAAGATAATAGTTAAAGAAAAACTAGAATGTGATTTGATGAGTTGCAACTCAGATGCATTATTTGGAATGCAGAAATATGAAACCTTTAAAAAAAAACTGACCTGCTGAGAAAACCTTAAAAATTAATTGAGGTGAAAAGATTTTTAAGGGGGAAATCTTCATGATTTATCTTACAGAAGAATTTTTTAAATTGAGTGCCTTGTTGAAAATAGGTAAGTGTCCCAAAGCAAATGTCGTTTATTTGTGAAATTCCAGAAACACTTCAAATTCAAATTAAGAATCATATTTTTTGGTTTTGTGGGAAAAATTTTAATCCTCCAAAACTCTGATTTGCATTTGAAAATATTCTCATTGCAAATAGTATCTGGCTTTGTTGAATTAAACTTTAATTTTCCAGGCTACTGATTGCACAGTGTGATTTTTGTTCTTCATTAACAAAAGATTACTTCCTATATAGCTGTTTAAGTGGTGGTGATTAAGTTAAAAAAAATCTTCATGGTTTCACATTTTGAATTCCACTAAACTGATTATCCTAATTTATAAATATATTTTAAATGAGGGAGAGGACTAATTCTGTGTAAAATAAGCTAAAATGTTACTACATAAACCTGATAATTTGAAATGAATTTTGTGAAGAGGTTATCTTTTAATTTAATTAAATTTATGAACAAGCTAGCTTTTTTAGAGATGTCTCACATACCTTGAAGATTTTAGAGGGTAATCTTCAGGTTCCGTATTTATAGACCCATCGTGAAATGGATAAAATATCGTATGTTGTGATTGTTCCATAAAACTAAAGTTAAAGCCTACAACGTACAGTTGCAAGTGCTTATCATACTTATTGGTATTTTTAAAAACCAAACCAAAACAAATGAAGGCATTTTAAACTAGAAGCAATTGTCAAGAAATGATCACAAACTCACAATTAGAACAGTTTCAGTAAACAAACAATTTGAGATATAACAAAAGAGCTGTGAACTGTTTCAAGATTTTCAGAAAGGGATCCTGTCTACGCTGAATTCCTTTCTGTGTTGTCACTGAATTGGTCAACATTTAAAGCTTGGCTGGAAATTCCTCAACTGAGTGTTATGAGAAGTCTTGCTCACATAAATCACAGTGAAACAAGTCATATATATTTTAACACACAGTTCAGATGGTTTTATATAGTCTGCTTTCCTTCATATTGCTTACCTTTTATGTTGATTTAGCCTTATTCATCCGTTTTTTGTTGTTGTTCCTTGGTTATGATTAATTTATATCTAGGTCCTGTTTAAAAAAAAAAAAGTGCCCAGAGGCTTATTTTCAGTTAAAGTACTGTTAGTCAACACCAGAATGTTTTTGTTTATGGATAACATCTTCTGAAGGTAACAGGTTATCACAACAAAATGTGTATGAAGTTTATAAACAATGAACTAAACTTGGCTTCCATTTGATAAGGTCTTCTTCCACTGAACACAATGTAGTATTCAAGAACACTGACTTAATGTCAGTACTTTGATATTGCCCTAATCAGAAATCCTGAGTTATAAATCCATTTTATTGATGTGATGTTGGAAAATTAGAATTCCTGGATTTCATTTTCCTTAAATATGCTGCTTTTTAGGTTGCTTTAGAAAAATGCAAGATAAACAGATTTATAGATAAAATATTTGTAAATAACTTTTAAAATGGAATTTTAAAAAAGATTGGTATACAAATGGTAGTCTTCTTTGAGACTAAGGATAATTAGAGCATATCCCTCTCAGGATTGTTGTAAGATAATGTATATAAAATGTTTTGCACGCCTTAAAGCCCATGTAAATGCCAGTTGTTATTTTTATTAAATTATAAAAAAATATTTTATTGTGTTGACTGTTTGAAAAAATAAAAATATTTTCCAAAAAGTGCTGTTCCAATAAAAACATTTTGTCAATTTTTTCAACTAAGCTCCCTGAAAATTTAAACTTATGATTTTTTTCTTGTGAATTTTACCTTTTTAACTAACCTAAAAGCTTCTGTTTTCTAACAGATAGTAGAATACAATGTTATGTCATCTTTTTTTCCATGATGTTTTCATTTCCTTCTTTTCAAAATAGAGTCTTGACATGTTGCTCTGTATTTCATGTAAAAACAAGTCCTTTGTAAAGTCGTCCTACTCTCTTAAAAGTCTGAATTTTTCATGTTTGTGCTTCAAGTCTTTGATATAATCTTACTTGTCACCCATTTGAAAGTGACCTGTAGGTCCTTTACCTTTTTATTGTTAACTGTGACCTGGTAAACTCTATTTGAGCAGTGCAAGATCAAAGGATTTTTATATTTCCTGTAAAAAGATAAACAAAACAAAAAAGCATCTTTAGTAACTACAATCTAATAGGGCTTCAAAATTTAAAAAGAAAAATATTTAGACACTTCTTATCTTTTGGAATATTCTTTTCATATTCTATCATCACTCTAAAGTGTGTCCATAATATATCCATTGTGTAATTGTCCTGTTTGAGATTAACACCTAGTCTTGTTTCCTTTCCCTTTTGCTAAAGAATATATGTATATATATATATATATTCTTTTCCAAATACCTTTATAGTATTACCATGTTGTTTCAACATGTTTTGAAACAAATTCTTGAGATCCTATATAACTTCTTTGGAAACCCTGAATAATCTGAAAAATACCACAAAACCATATTTATGAAAGATGGTGGTGATAGTTTTAAATTTATATCAATCTTATAGAGCCACAATGTTTTTATTATTTTTTTTTAAAGTTGTAATGATTTTATCTTTACTTAAAACGTGACCCCACAGTTGCATTGCCATAACCATTTTTGGTTCTACCAAAAGATATGATGAGATTTTTTTAGATAAATAATTCAGATTAGCCATGCAAAGTACCAATCCCTTTGTTTGAGGGAGAGGGTGGTAGTGCTGATAAAATTGTAGATAGAAGAAAAGACAAAGAAAATCTTTATCCCTGGAAAGAGAGTCTCTGGTGAGCTGCTGGGCACACAAAGGTACACATGAGTTAAGCACATGTTTTAAGCCCATGATGAAGTGGTAGGGGCAATAGACTGAGTGTGAACACACTAAATAGGGAGAATCATGGCAACCTAACCTCTTTTAGAAGGAACTGCATTTATATCTGTCTCATTATGCAGTTAAATCGGTCTTATTAAATGACATTACCTAGCTAATGTATCCATATTCATGTAATTCTGATTTATATTTTCCTATTTTATATTTTTCCCTCGTACACAGATAGCATAGACTGTATATAACCCCTCGGCCATTTTGTAGAGTATGGCAGCATTCAATAATTCAAAGATTTTACCATTTCTTTTTCAAGCTCTACTATCAACCAACTAACTTCTTAAAGTCACTCAATCCTCTCTGCCTTAGTTTCTGCATCTATGAACTGGGGGCAATTTTTCCCTCCTCCCCCCAAAATTCAACCCTTTGCCCCTGGAATTCCCACATTCCCCCCATCCCCATCTCTAAGGATGCCACTCAAAATATGTTTATGTTTATGTCATCAGGTGATCAGTTTTCATGAATTCTAATAGGGATACATGCACTAATTCCAGCATTATTGTAGATAGATGGTTTCTGATCTGTCTCAGAAAAGACCATTACTAAATAGTGCAAAATACGACTGATGATGACTTTGGAATAGCCAGGACAATATTTAAACACGCTTGTTATTTGCTTTTGCTTAGGGAGGTGGTTTGAGGAAATCTGGTTTCCTTGGTTGAAGCCAAATCAGATTTCAGATTGCTACTTGGTTCAGGTATCTGGGTAGGAGTTAATGATTATTTACATGAAACAAAAAAAAACTTTAAAAAGTTATTAAGTAAATTTTAGAATTTTTTTTCTTTTAGGTAATTTAAATTTTAAAATGTCTATATTTTCCTAAAGGCACATTGTGAACTCGTACTAAGGGGAAAAAAGAACATTTAAGCATTAGTAATCCTAATGGTTTTAAAAAGCCGAAGGTAAGCTGTGATGAATTTTGATGCAACATAACTTTCTGGTCTTGGGAAGCTTGCTCATACATGACAGTGCTGTTATCTCTGCAGGAGCTAAATCTTAGCGCAACAGTTCTTAAAGTGTGGTCGACCAAGATTCTTTCATGGGGTCTACAATGTCAAAGCTATTATTATAATAATATTAAGATGTTATTTGCCTATTAAAATACTTCTCCCTTTTCCAGCTATACATCTCTGTGAGGCCAGATTTTCTTCATATCCTTCAACCAAAACAACATATCACAACAAATTGAATGCAGAGGCAGATATGAGAATCCAACTGTCTTCTATTAAGCCAGACATTCAAGAGAGGGCAAAAATATGTAAAACAATGCCATTCTTCTTAATAATTTTTTGTTTTGGAATATATTTTTTCATAAAAATGTTATTTTTATTAACATATAATGGGTTTATTATTGTTATTTCTAAATGAATTAAATAAATGTTTTAAAATTTATCCATTTTGAGTTCTAATGTGGTAAATAGAAATAGATGTAAGCCATACAAACAAAAACTCTTTGGAGTCTTCAACAATTTTTAAGATTGTAAAGCAAACCTGAGACCAAAAGTTTAAGAACCGCTGTCCTACAGGACAGAGTACTTGACTCCTGAATCTGGAGGCTTGGGTTTATCCCAAGCTCTTCCTCACACATTTCCTCAGACCTTAGAGGCCAGTTTCTTAATCTCTCAGTGATTCAGTGTCTATACCCATAAATTGGAGATGTGTCTACGAAGTGATAATCCTTCAGAAGGATGTTATCAAAAAAGATTAGATAATGCAAACAAATTGTTCTGCCCTCTCCAAAGAAGGTAATGTAGTTCAATGGAAAGAACTCTGAACTGAGATACAGAAAATCTGAATTCTAGTCTTGGCAGTGACATCCCTGGTGATTCAATTTGACTAACATTCATTAAGGGCCAGGTACTCGTATGAATACAATAGTTCCTGTCCTCATGGGACTCAGAATCTAGGAGGAGAGAGATGTGAAAATGTGTAACAATAATATATAATCTCATATGCTAAGTGCATAGGAAATGTACAGAGTGCTGTGAGTTTTCCAGAGACAAACAAGGTGTGGACAATCAGAGAGAAAGCAGCACCTGAGCTGGGCCTTCTATAAGACTGGAAGAATTTCTGTATTTTAGCCTCAGTTTCCTTAGTGCTAAAATGAGACAGATGCATTGCATTGACTCTGAGGGAATGCATCTCTACAAATCCTTGGTGAATGTAACACCTACTCACTCATCTACCTATAGTCTAGGCTCATGCTGAAAGACTGTCAACAACTTTCTTGGCTTCCCTAAACTCCAGGTCCTTCCTGTTCCAATCCATTCTGCAGATTACTGTCAAATTGATTCTCCTCTATCATTTTTATCTAACAAAGCAACCTATAGGGAATAGAGATCTGGACTTGGAGTCAGAAAAACCTACCTTTATATCATAACTCTGACACATTTTTTTCACCAATCAATTGACAAGCATTTTAAAGCACCTACTATGTGAGAGGTGGTTTGCAAGGTACATGAACCACAAAGACAAAAGTAACACAATCCCCACCCTTGAGAAGTTTACATTTACACTTAACTATGTAACCTTAGGGAAATTTCTTAACCACTCAGGGACTCAGTTTACTCCTCTGTAAAATAAGGTGGTTGAACCAGATGACCTGATTTCTTCCAAATTGAAATCTATGTTGCCATCATGTATAAAAAAAGAACCTTGTAACTTTAAAGTGTTATAGAGATGTCATTCGTCATTTATTATTGTTCCACACATTGAGAGAGCTTACATTAATATAGCTCTACGTTAAACCTTGACAAAGCATTTTATATACCTCTTAGCAGGGTCATAGACCGCTTTGGTAGTCTGATGAAGTCTATGTAACTCTTCTCAGGAAAAAAGTTTTTAAATAGCTATAATAAAATACCTAGAATTACAAAGGAAAGAGATGATAGAGAAGCACAGTTACCAAATTTTTAAAAAACAGTTTACAGATCCCTGTTTAAGAATCCCTGCCTCAGAGGTGGATGGAATCCAGATAAACCATCTCATTTCTTCAAAGAGCATCTTGGAGGCAAATTACTGGCCCCAAACACACAGCTTTGAAATAGTCAAAACCAAATAATACCAAATCCAGTAATCCATCTACACCATTTGGTCCTATCCTACTCAGACTCAGTAAAAGTTAGCCAGTTTTAGCAAGAGCTCTTCCCTCCCCTTCCTTCATTAGCTTTCTTAAGCCAATTTATCAAGCAGAATGTGAATTTTCAGAATGTGTTCTGCATAGATGCCACAATTTTAAAAGTAGCTTTAAGAGAGGAAGAATACTTTCTTGAAAAAAGAGGAACTTGGAGCTTAAAATAACAAACTAATTTTAAGTGCTTTTTGCTGTTGTTGTTGCTGTTGTTACTGGATCTAGGACATGATGACGTCAGTGTATGGAGCTCCCTACATTGTACCTGAGAGTTATCTGGATCACTGAGAAGTCAAAAGACTTGCCCAGAGTCACACAGCCAGTACGATTCAGGGGCAAGACTTGATCAGGACTTCCAGATCCACTAAGAAGCATTAGGCTTTTTGCATACTTATATTAGTTTTATAGGCACTTTAGCCAATAAATAATTAGATATTATTTTATTATTAAATTAATTAAACCAATATTTGATTCAGAAAATGCCTTGACAGCTCTTTCAGACAAGGCAGCTCCCATGTAGACGTCAAAATGACACGATATAGAATTATGGAGGTCATTTCATTCTACTCTCCTCTGAGTAATGGCATCTAGCAGGGTATTAAATAGGTAGATAGATGTTCACTGAAGGTGTTCTCTAGGGTAATGGAAGGAAGATGGGGCAGCATGGCATGGTGGATCGATTGCTGGACTTCTAGTCAGAAAGATCTACCTCTGACTCTTACCAGTTGTGTGATCATTGGCATGTCACTTACCATTTCTGAGCCTCAATTTTCTCATTTGTATAATGGGACTAATAGTATCTATAACATTTGCCTCACAGGTTTTTTTTTTTAAATGATGACCAAATATTATAAAATATGTAAAGTGCTTTAGGAACCTTAAAGTGATATAAAAATGTACTCCTTTATTCAAGAAGCAATTATTAAGCACCTATGTGTAGAAAGTAATTATTAAGCAGCTATGTACAAGGCACTGTGATAGGTACTAGAGTAGCCAAGATGATAAGGGGCTTGAGTCCTCATCATATGAGAATAAGTTGAAGGAACCAGAGCTGTTCAGCTTGGAAAGGAGAAGACATCTGGGGACATTTGCCTTCAAGTATTTGAAGGGCTGTCACATAGAAAAAAAGAACAGACTTGTTTTGTTTGATCCAAATGACAGAACCAGAATCTGCAGGTAGAAGTTACAAATAGTCAAGTTCTGGCTCGATGTCAGGAAAAAACTCCCAGACAATTTGAACTGCTCAAAAGTGGAATGGGTTACCTGGAGGGCAAGTTCACCTTCCTTGGAGTTCTTCAATCTGGGGCCGGATGCCCACCTGTCAGGGATGTTACAGTGAGGATTCCTTCTGTGTATGGGTTAGACTGAATGGCCCCTAAAGTCTTTTCCAACTCTTCAGTTCTGTGATTCTGTGATGGGAGAGGGTAAGGACCAGACCTTTGATTCCATCAGGATATGGAACCCTGGATGAAGAAATTTCCTCAACCAATGCAAAGGGTTGGCACCTTTTAAGCAACTTTTATTTTAGGATGCTTCTTAAAGCGACTTGACCAGGGTTGTACAGCCAGTATGGATCAGAGGCTAAACTCAGCCTAGGTCTTCCTGGCTCTGAGGACAGCTCTATCTACTACATCACACTGCCTGGCCTCAGTTTTCTCATTTCTGTAAAATGAGCTGTTTGGATTAGAGGGTCTCTGAGTTCCCTTCTACCTTTGATTCTAGGAACTTATTATATTCCCAGGAAAGCATGGCCTTCCATAACAATGGAGAGAATCTTCTGCGATCACCTTTCTCCCTCGTTAATGTCTTGGTGGATGTCAGGGCTCAGCCAATCAGTACAATTACAGAACCTCTATAGCTGTATGTTGTATGATTTTGTAGACTACTAATGCCTACTCTTATTCAGTTGTTCAGTCATGTATGACTCTTCTTGACCCCTTTTGGGGTCTCTTGGCAAAGATAGAGGAGTGGTTTATCATTTCCTTCTCCAACTTTTTACAGATGAGGAAACTGAGGCAAATAGGGTTAAGTGACTTGCCCAGCATCACACAGCTAGTAACTGTTTGAGGCTGGATTTGAATTTAAGTCTTCCTGACTCCAGGTTGAACACTCTGTCCACTGAGCCACCTAAGTGCTTAGATACATCTAAAAGGATGAAGATGCCCTGTTTTTTAAGATAGGCACTGAACCCTTTGATTTCATTAGGAGAGGAAACTCCCTATACCAATGCAGGTTGGCACCTCCAATGCAGTTTAATCTTTAAGATTTGCCCAGGGTCTTGAGAAGTCAAAGAACTTTCCTTGAGTCATTTGGCCAGTGTGGGTCAGAGTGGGGACTTGAACCCAGATCTTCCTGACTTTGGGCCAGCTTGCCAAGCATTGCTCCATGCTGCTTCTCTTGGGAGCATGTAGACTTTCAAGTCCATACAATGTAGTTATCACCCCTTTATGAAAGTTGTGAATTCTTTGGTATTTAATAGTGTTTCTTTTGAACCTAAAATCTCACAATTGCTAATTGCCCATGAACATTCCACTATTTGCTCTGTACTACACCTAAATATATGAGATGATCCAGGAGGCCTAGCACCTCTGGTGTGAGGGCTTTCTGAGCTGAGCTCTTTTCAGGGCTACTCATCCACCTTTGGTGTCCACCTTTCACCTCTCACCTGTGGCTGCAAGAAGCTATAGCATGTGCAGCAGCCATACCCTGGTAAAACCGTCTTGGCAGACAGGCCAAACCAGGTTGAAAGTAACCAACAGGCTTCCAACCTGTTGGTAAAGTAGGGACATGTCCACCTCAAGCATGTGAAGACTTCTCTTGCTGGAATGTGTGGACGAGAACAATTTGTTCCAATGGCCATGAAGGACGATGAAGCTCATGATGTGGAGCACTCAGAGCCTGGTCACGCATCAAAGCTGCCAACGTCATCCATCGAAGATGCCAACATCGTCCACTGCATCCCCAGTCTTCTTGACTTTTGTCTTGCCACCAGACTTCGGTGACTTGGCAAGAGAGAGTGAGGCTGACAACCTTGTACAACTCTGCCTCATTTAAATCTGATTCACTCACAAGTGAATGGTATCACTGGTCCCTTTGGAAAATGAAAGAGCAATTACAACAGCAACACCTAAGTACATTCAGCAAACTGAGATCTAGCAGTATACTGAGCAAGCAGGTACAAAAATAATCTGTAGTACCCTAAAAAGGTTTGGAAGTTTGTAAAGCATCTTTCCAACTGGAAGGAGCTGTGGTATGATCTACAACCCTGAAAGTCAATGCTATCCATTCTATCTCAATGCTTGTTCAGTTATATGCCTCCCCTTAATGTGTGTCTATCGATACTGTTCTTCTAAAGGGTGTTTTTTGCACTGTCACTTTGTTTAATGCTGTGTACAGATAAGTGCTTAATAAATGACTTGTGGTGTTGAAAGCACTCCCACTTTCCACTAAAGCAATTAATGATATCTAAGCAGAATGACCCACAAAGGAAATTGGGTTCTTTTATGTTGAAAGTCTTTGTAAGGTAGCTGTTTTTCCATGAACACACTTTCTGAGCCATGCACTTATCAAACTGAGAAGTGGTTGGATATTATAGCACCAGAACTGAGGACCACATGGAAATGTAGGTTTGTGGCCTTCCTATGACAGACCTCAAATACTTAAACTGTCTGAACACACTTTCAATTTCATGGAGCATCAATTTTTGAAAAACACACAAGCCTTTGAAAGTGACTTGGGAAGGTAGTTCACTGCAGAAACTGAGGAAAGTGGATATTGCTTTGTAAATTTTTTAATTACAAAAAAAGAGATATCCTTTTTTGGTGATAATAACAGCTAGCATTTACATAGCCTTTAAATGTTTTTGATCCACATGTTGCTTCATTTGGACTTCACAACAACCCTGTGAGGTGCATATGCTCTGGAGAGACGGGTAACATGAAGACCTAGATTTGAAAAAAAAAAACCAACCCAACAACTTTGTGCCAACTTTTTCTTGTAGATTTGAATGGACATAACTGTAGCTTTGGTCTATCAGTGTGTGCATGTGTGTGTGTTTGTGCGCTTTTCTCCTTAAATTTCATATTGCTTACTTCTATTATCCAGACCAGTTGAAGGGTTTTAGGGGAAACTGACCCTGAAGTACACTGGGCAATGCTATATAAGATATATACAAACACACACATACATGCTAACATATAAGATGTATAAGTGTCCATCCCCCCAGGCAAAAGTTGGCACAAGTTTAAAAAATGAAATTCCAAACAACAACTTTCATTCCCACTGGTGATAACTCCATTTTGAAATTCAACATCTAAAGCTTTGCTCTCTTCTCCTTAAAGAGATAATAGAGCAAGAGAAAGAATGCTGGATTTGGAATCAGAAGATTTGGGTTTGAATCCTGCCTTCACTACAAGACTTTGGGGAAACCACCTTATTGTCCTTGTGCATCATTTTCCTTATCTGTAAAATGAAGGGGCTGGCTGGACTAAATGGACCTTTGAATTCCCTTCTAGGTCTACATTTATGATCCTGAGAAATGTTGAGTCAAGTGGGTGAGCAGCTCTTTAGAATTTGATCAGTCACATCTTGTTTTTTATATCAGTCTATTTTTTATTCTCATCATGAAGCTTTCCTTAATCTTCTTGTCTCCCCGTCATTGTTAACAACCTTATTCCACCACCACCCACATAGCATCTCTGTAGTGCACCTACAATTTGCTAGTAGTGTGTCTATTGTAGTTCTGTATATACGTGTTACATCCTCCAACTAAATAGAACTTCTCAAAGATAGGGACCATGTTTTCCCTAAACTCCCTCTTCCCTCCCTAACTCTAGTGCTTTGCACAGTGTTCTGCACACAGTAGGTGCTTTTAAAATGTTTGTTGACTTGATCTGAATTGTCTCAGCAACTCATTTTCAAGACAGGTATCACTGGCACGAACAGAATAAAACGACCCAATTCTGGGCAGCTCTTTCTGAAAGAAACAAAGGCAAGCAAGCTAATCTTGCTTGCTTCTATAAACCCCAATATAACTGACTTTCTGCACCATCTGAAACCACAGAAAGGTTTTGCAAACTGTAGGGAAAAAAAAGCACAAAGAAAAAAAAACAGCTGATGAAATTTACAGTGCTTTTTTTTAAAACTACCAAGTAGAGACCATACCAAGCTCCTGCCCAAAATAAATTATTTTCCCTTCTGCATCTAGTGAGAATGATAAGATGAAAATTTGGATATGCAGAACACAAGTCAGTTTTTTTTTTTTTTACAGAGAAATGTAAGCCTCTTGAGGACAGGAACTGTTTTCCTTTTATTTTTGTTTTCTCACAGCCCAGCACAGTGCCAAGCATATAAGTAAGTGATTAATAAATGATTGTTGATTAATAGATTGTGGTATATAAACTGACTAGTCAAGTCTTCAAATGTTTATTAAGCACCTACTATGTGTCAGGCCCTGTGCCAATCCCTAAGGATCTAAAAAAAGGCAAAAAACATTCCCTGCACTCAAGAAATGTATAATCTAATGCAGGAGGCATGTAAACAATGGTGTTCAAACAAGATATGCATATATGCAAGGTAAATTGGAATCGATTTCAGAAGGAAGGAACTAGCATTACGGGCAACCAGGAAAGACTTCTTGAAGAAAGTGGGATTTTAGCTGAGACTTGAAGGAAGCCAAGGGGCAGAGATGAGGAGAGAGAGCAGTCCAGGAATGGGGGAAGAGCCAGAGAAAGTGCAGGAAACTGAGAGACGGGAAGAGTCTTGTTCCTGGGACGGCAAGGAGACCAGGGTGACAGGATGGAAGCATAAGTGAGGAGTGTGGGTGAGAATGAGGGGTGGATATAGTGTAAGAAGACTGAAAGGGTAGTAAGGGGCTAGGTTATGAAGGGCTTTAAAAGCCAAAGAGAGGCTTTTATATTTGATCCTGGAGGCAACAGGGAGCCACTGGAGTTTCCTGAATAGGATATGGTCAGGACCATGCCTCCCAAACTCTGTGTGTTCTCTGTAGTGCTAATTCAGTGAAGACTCTGAAATGCAGAACTACAAGTTGTAAATCTTAATTTAACAGAAAACTTGAATGAAACAGTTAATGGAAAATTTATCTTTTTTAGATCCCCATGTGCTTCCTTTTTTTTTTTTGGTTGAAGTAGCAGCAAACAAGAGAAGTGGGGGAACAGAGCATTTCTAGTCCATCATGGTGTTAACGAGCACCAGGCATAAATCATGGGTATGAGTATATGGACAGCACAAGAATTCTAGCCATATATTCTGGGAAAGTTTTGACTTATACAAATGCAATTAATGTCTCCTTGTTCTTTTGCCTCATTACACAATGGTAGTTAGAGGCTGAGGGATGTTTTCTGTATCTCCAGGTCAGCCTGTTTTGTATTGAACAGAATGCAAGACTTGGAGTCAGGAAGACTTGAATTCTAATCCTGTCTCAGGCATTTACTCAGCTTGGAAAAGTCACTGAATCTCTCCCTCTTTCTCTCCCCCTCCAGCCTCCCCAGCCCTGCCCTCTCTCTCTCTGACTCTGTTTTTCTGAATCTGTCTCTGTCTTTCTGTCTGTCTCTTTTTCTCTCTGTCAGCCTCAGTTTGCTCATTTGTAAATTGAGGATAATGATAATACCTATATGACAGGATCATTGTGGGGAATCCAATGAGATAATTAATATGTGAAGTGTTTCACAAATCTTAAAGTGCTATATAAATTCTAGTTATTATGGTTATTATTAGCACCCCTGTCCCAACTTTTTCAGACCACCCTTTGCCAAATCAAAGGATAAGCCTATATGTTCCAAACTAACCCCTAAGACATTCTGAAGTCTGTTGGAAATGACTTTTCTTTCTCCAAATTTTGCAAAACCTTTTAGACTTTCTTATATTTTGTTGTTACTGCATGTAAGCTTTCTGAGGGCAGGGATCATTTTACTTTTGTCTCTGCATCCCCAGCTCCTAGCACAGTATCTGACATATGATAAGTGCTTAATATATTGCTTCTTGATTGAATGGTATTGCATATTTGTTTGTATATCCTAATTGCCCACGGAATCATCAACTCCATAAGGACAAAAAATATGAATCAATTACCTCAATATCACCCCTATCCCACAACTGCACAGCCTTTCAAAATATAGACCCTTAATAAGTAGTTGTTGAATGACTGATAAATAAATGCTATGGATGTATCCCATCCAGTCTGAGCATAATGACTTACGTTCCTATGGATAACGTAGATACTTCTTAGTAACCAGGGACTATCCTTGGGGTCACCTATAGTTAGTCATCTCTATTTTCCATGTTGTCAGACCAAGGAGGACATAGTTGAAGTAATATGGATGTTGCTGCGCTAGCTGTCACCTCTATACACCTCTCAGGTGCAAAGCCTTCTGGAGGTAGGCAATCAAGCAAGGGAAATGGTACCTTTGGTTGGGCCAACTTTAAATGCAAATCTTTCCATTTGAGTGTGATCATTCTTAAAAATAATAGCAAACTTTCATTTATTCAGAATGGTTGGGAAAACTGAGCATCCTGGCTAATAAAATACTAAGCTTAAATGAAAATTACCTTGTGTGTATATACAACACAGATTAATGATTTTCAAAGAACTATAATACCAAAAAATGTACTGAAAACTCAAATCATACAGAACATACTTAATGGTTTCTTAACTATTCAGAAAGCACTTCAGGATTTTGCAATGCTCATCATTATGAGCATCCGTTTTTCATTCATTGGGTAAATAAACTCTTGATTAAGCACCTCTCTGCATGTACTTTAAAAAATCTGG